ATTTCTGGGGGGACTTTTAAAAACTGATGCCAAGACCGAGTTAAGTCATGATCTTTGTAAGCAGAGTCTTGGCATTGGTGATTTTCTAAGTTCTGCCAGTGATCTTGATGCATAGTCAAGCTTGGAAGCCCTTTCTGTAGAACAGTAACAAGTGATTAACTAAAATAAGCAAAAAAATAAAATAACGCACGTTGGAAAGCTCGCTAGAATTGAAGAGTTTCGGACTCCAATCCAGAGGTACTAAGTTAGAATCTGCATTTGAACAAGATTCTTGGACAATGAGCATGCAGATTCAGAAGTGTGAAGCTTTGTTCTGGACTGCTTTTATGAAGACCTGAGGACAACATTAACCGCACGATTCTTCCATTTGATGTTTTTCTCAAGTTCGAAGTGAAAACGTTTCACTGATTATGGCCATTGGGGCAAATTGTTATCACATACGTTAATAACCACACAGTGCAAGTGAGGCAGGAAGAAAGCTGAGGAATGGATGTAGCTAAGGGGGCTGGAACATGTGTCTATGTGGCTAAATAGACAAACCAATCAGGGCAGACAATTCCCTGCTGGACGTAATGCTGGTGGGAGATTTTCAGTGGGGAATGTCAAGCTGATAGCCCATGAGTTAAATTAGTGGGCCCAACCACCTTTGATATAGCTATGAGATGTATCAGTGGGTCTAGTTATATCTGATATACAGCCAATGGGATGAAAGCAATTAGGGGGCCCAGCCAATGATCAACCAGCACAACCTGGTTAAGAAATTATAAAAACCCATGAAAGCATTAGCAGGGCCCTTCAGCCACTCTTTCTCTCTCGTGATCAAGCCATTCCTATCTCTCAGGAGTGCACTTTTACTTTTACTTAAGAAGCTATCCTTTATGATTTTTTTTTTCATAGACATGTTCCATTCAATTCTTTCCTGGAAACACCAAAAATCTGGATAGCGGGACCAGCAGTTAGCGTAATGGCTATGTCGCTGGACTCCCACATAGTTGACCACGGTTTGCATCCCGGACCTGGTGGCTTAAAACTCACGCTGGGCGCGTGTGCGTGCGTGCCCAAGATCCCTAGAGGAGAATGGAGGAGAAGGGATTGCGGTATGACCATCCCCCCTGGGGGGTGATTTCTCGCTTTCTGTCTCTCGGGCGAGCGCACGTGCCCTATAGCAGAAACCTCTTTAAAAAAAAAAAAAAAGAAAAAGAAAACCTGGATAGTCATCTGGCAACACAAAGATGATTATTTATACCTAATTATCATTAAATAACCAGCTAGTAAGCTAACACCTAAACTGATTTAACCCTTTCTTGCCTTTCCCCATCTATTCCCATTCTACTCTCAACCTTAATATAAGATGCTCTACTCTCCCATGCGTAAGTCTCACTTTCTAGCCTCGTACCTTCGTAGCTATCTCTACCTAACATGCTTTCTGTCCATGTTGAAGTATGTCAGGGAGAGTTCAGTTAATACTATTTCTTAAAATATTGTTCTGATTTCATTCCTTTGCTAGCACAGAATATGTGAGGCATGCTTCCTGTACCTCTCTTGTGGGACATTTGATATTTTTCTTCAAGTCATTTTTTCATAATTGTTTTCCATTCTCTATCAGATGATAAACGATGTTAAGAAAGAATCTATGTGTAATTCACTCCTATAGAATTTACACAACCTTTCTTAAGGGTATGCTTTTATTAGGTATTTCTTTATCTTTCTTATTTTTTAAATGAATAACTAATTAAAATCACTCTTCTTGGTATAGTTAGTCTGTTATAAAAACACTCTGCCCTGGAGACATCTAGCCTATGTTTCACAAACTGTGCTGTTTGCAGAATCTGAATTAGAAATGTCTAAGAAGATATCATAGGGAGTAGTTGAAAACTTAATATGCCCAAACATCTTTCCTTAAGAAAGCTTCTCACAGGCATTGTTCATTCTGCATGAGAAAGTTGGGTTATTTTTAGTAATAGTAAGTGATAAGTCATCCAAAATAATCTTAGGGGTACTCAAGTTTTAAGGATTACCTAGATGGGCAAGAGAATTTCAAAATATTTTTTAAAAAACATTGACTCAAAATATGAGTTTGTTCTGGTGCAAAAAAAAATGGAAATACACACATAGTTTTTTTCATGATATGCATTTTCCATGAATTTTTTAACCTTTTTTTTTTTTTGGAGAGTTTTTTCTCTATAGGGCACGTGGGCTCATCAGACAGACAGAGAGAGATAGAGACAGAAAGCGAGAAATCACCCCCCCAGGGGGGATGGTCATGCCGCAATCCCTTCTCCTCCATTCTCCTCTCGAGATTTTGGGCATGCACGCACATGCTCCTGGCGTGAGTTTTAAGCCACCGGGTCCGGGACATGAACCGCGGTCGACTACGTGGGAGTCCAGCGACATATTCACTACACTAATTGCTGGTTCCCAACCTTTTTTTTTCCTTTAATCTTTCTAGAGGGTCTGTGTGTTTGCTGGAGAAAGACAGAGAGAAAAGGAAAGAGAGAAAGCACCCTCCTGGGGTATGGTCACACGATAACCCCTTACCCTTCATTTCTCCTTGCAGGGTGGGGGCACTCATGTTCTACAAACTGCTGTGTCCAGGATTCAAACCATGCATTTGGCCATGTGGGATCCAGCCACCTTAACCACCAGGTGGCCTTCCTGTGAACTTTTTGAAGATCTCTGGTATCATCATGTTTTCCTTTTCAGTAGGAACATAGAATCCTGGCTAAAGAGACAGAACACCACAATAGTATTCTCAGGATGGATGGTTGAAAATCTGGGGTCAAACATCATAGGAAGAAAACAAAATAATAATAACAATTAAAAAATAGATAGTTGTCCCTGGTAGGGGAACTCCTGTGTTACAGGCTGATTAACTAAGGACTGTCTCCTATGACTGAGAAAGAAGCAGCTACTGAGTTAAAATTACTCTATACAATTGTTCACTAGTGGGAACCAGCAGTTAGCGTAATGGCTATGTCGCTGGACTCCCACGTAGTCGAACACAGTTCACGTCCCGGACCCGACAGCTTAAAACTCACGCCAGGCGCATGTGCATGCGTGCCCAAGATCCCAAGAGGAGAATGGAGGAGAAGGGATTGCAGCGTGACCATACCCCCGGGGGGGGGGTGATTTCTTGCTTTCTATCTCTATGTCTCTCTCTGTCTGGTGAGCGCACGCCCTATAGCGAAAAAACCTCTCCAATAAATAAATAAATAAATAAACAATTGTTCACTAGCGCTGCTCTTAGATGTAGTATATTCTACTCTGCTTTCTTAAAAAATATGAAAGAAAAGGTGAGGGGTGGAGCAAATATAAAAATACTTTCATTATTTCCAAACTCTTTGAAGCTTTTGAAATGTTGAGAAAAAAAAAGAAGTCATAGAATTGATTAACAGATGGTACTAATTAATATCTTAGAATTCACTGGAAATTATGTCAAAGCTGATTAGCTCTTTAAAAAATAATTCTGATTGAGGGACCAGCAGTTAGCATAATGCCTATGTTGCTGGACTCCCATGTAGCCAACCATGATTCGTGTCCCGGACCCAGTGGCTTAAAATTCACGCCAGGCACGTGTGCGTGCGTGCCCATGATCCTGAGAGGAGAATGGAGGAGAAGGGATTGCAGCGTGGCCATCCCCCTGGGGGGTGATTTCTCACTTCCTGTCTCTCTGTCTCTTTCTGTCTGTCTGGCAAGCACACGCGCCCTATAGCGAAAACCTCTCAAAAAAAAAATTTCTGATTGATTCTAAACGTATTTTCATAAATATATTGGGGACATTCCACTCTGCTTTATCAATGTTGAGAAATACAGAAGATTTGTAATATAGACACTATTTTCTTATTATTTCTCAGCAATGCCATTTTTCTGTCAAAATTAATGATGAAGTGGGGTTTGGCAAGTGGTGTGGTGGTAAAGGGCGCTGGTCTCCCACATGGCCAACCACAGTGTGGGTCCCAGACTTGGCCGCTTACATTCTCCCTCTCTCTTTATCTATCTCTCTCTGGTCAAATTGAAAAAAAAAAAAGATAATAAAAAAGAATTTAAAAAAAATTAATGATAAAGCATCCCTCCATTTCCTACTGATTGACTTAAGATGGAATAGAGGGGATAAGTATTCTTTATACCTGAAGACCAAGAAAAAGATGTAAGATATATTTGTTTTATGGCTTCTGACATCTCTATTTCTTTTTTTTTTTTTCCAAGCCAAACTGTATCCAGCTTTATTAAAGATACTTTTCATTAACAATCATGGTATCTCAGGCAGGACATGGGCAGACAATCGTTAACAGTATACAACAACTTTCAAACTCGCTTCTTCAGTGGACTACCAGAATCAGAAAGCCACTATAAAACCCAATGAAGTCTTCATCTGATGCTCTGAACAGGAAAAGTTTAGAGTGAGGGTTGACATTTCACATTTAGCATGTTGTTTAACAGCTTTTCACAAGCCGACCCTGACTTTCAGGAAATGAAAATGGCAGAATTATCAACCTGAAGACCCAAGAACATGGAAAAGGACGTGCTGCTCCTTTGAAGGATGCCATCTCAATGCCATTGGGAAGTCCAGGTTGCCTGATACACTGGTATATATAACCAATTTCCTGTGGTCAGGTCCCACAGGTCTCTGGTTTAAGGGAGGTAAGTCTATGCTGAAGGCAGAGAGGGAGAGGACATAAAAGCAGATGTTGAGTTTTCCAGAGCACCAGGCATCTGTACCAAGGTGGCTGTGTGTCAGGGAATCCCTCCTCTCGGGAGCCAAGAGGAGTCTCTCAAAACTAGAAGGGAAAGATGTTGTCCAAATCAATCCAGCTTCAGAGACATTCTATTAGTGACAAATGCCCCTTCCCAATAAAACAACAATCAAGTGTTCTGTGTGCTAACAACATAGCTTTAAAAAAATGGTAAAACAAAATTCTGCAGTTTTCTAAAACTTGATAAAAAGCTGTATTTCAAACTGTGCAGTCACCAGAAGTACAGTTATCGAAAATGCACACACTTCACTTGGCATCTCCAGCACCTACAGCTTTCGGTGCCTGGTCTGTGTTGGCATCTCCATTCTCTGCAGGGTTACTTCCATCCTCGCCAGCATCAGCTTTTCCCTCTTTGCCTGTGGGTACCTTCTCTCCCTGCTTTACAGGGGCCGTCTTAGGCTTGGGCTCTGGCTTTGGAGGAGCAGGTTTTGCAGACAACCTTGCAGATCTTCTCCATGGTTTGTCCTTCACCTTGGCCTTATCTCCTTCAGCCTTTCTCCTGGGCATGGTGGCGATGATGGCGGAACGTAGACACTGGGCACGGGGATGCAGCGGCGCTCAGGCTTTGGATGGTTTGGGGGTCGCTCTCGCCTCTTCTTCACACTGTTCCCTGACATCTCTATTTCTGTTGATTCCATGTTCCAGACCATTCTAGTGATTGTCTTTGGTTTACTGATTCCTACAAAAGAATAAAAACATATTTCTGGAATCTTTTTATTGATGACTCCAGAAACAAATGAACTAAAATGACAAGATTCTTAGTATAGAAAAATTTCACACTGGTTTACTTTAAGCTTTTTCAAATTTTTTATTTTTTAAAGGTTTTTGCTATAGGGTATATACACTTACCAGAGAGAGAGAGAGAGAGGGGAGAGAGAGGGAAAATGAAAAACCATCTCCTCCCCAGGGAGGGATGGCCATGCCACAATCCCTTCTCCCCCATTTTCCTTAGGATTTGCGGCACACACATACATGCCAACGTGATTTTGAAGCCACTATGTCTGAGACTTGAACTGTGATTGGCCACATGAGATTCCAGTGCCTTAACCACTATGCCACCTGCTGACCCCTCAAATTTTTTAAAAAATAAAGCCCCATTACCTCTATGTAAATAGTTATAATGAGTTTGAAAAATTCCGCCTATACCCCCACCTCCTCAGCTGTAAGGTTTTACTTTTAAATTGTTGTAAATACTCATAAATATCTCTGCAAATGGAATTGTCAGATGTGACCCTTTTTTGCTATTATTTACATCAGTAGTTTCTAAACTTAATTATACATTGAAATTGTCTGATTTCTTATAAAAATATTGATGCCTGCATCCTGCCTGTAGAGATGTATTTCTGATTAGTCATGTCTGTGGCCTGCGGATCAGTATTAATTAAATTTTCCTGCATGATTCTAAGGTGCAGACAAGGTTGAGAAATAACTATTTTGGCCAAATTTGTCAACAATATGTTTCAACACCTCTTTTAAACCAAGGTATATTAATGGATTGAATCACAGTTTCCACTTCTTTGTCTTGATACTCTCTAAGTTCAGGAAATTCTTCCAAACGTTAGATACCAAATCTGAACACAAATGACCTACTTAACAATGCATGGGTAAACAGAATTAGTAAATGACATGTAGGGACAGAAGGAAACACCTAGCTGGTACTACCCCCATTATCTCTTACAGCCATTAGGAAGGTTAAGCATTTGTTCCCATCCATTATAAATATAGTTCTATAGCCACTTTTTTCCTCCCTTACTTTCTGACAGGTCTATCTGTCCTACTAAATACTAACATTGAATATATATTTCATTCTTTGTCTTTTGTATTTGTATGGAAGTCACAATAATATTTAGTTTTAGGGAACTAAATTAAGTCCAACACCGGCATGCATTTATGAATCAGCTATAAGACCAGCCTAGAAGTCTAACAAATAAAATCCAATATATAAAAATGTAAATCAGTTAGCTCAATGTGACATTCGTGGAGCTTCTGCTTCTGAACTCCACATTTTCTGTAGTGAAACGGACCACATGATGTGCCACGTGGAAAAACGCCAGGGTGGATGGCCCTAGTGAAACATGCCAGGAAACAACTCTCATTGTTGGAAAACAGTTCAAAAGTGAGAAAAGCCATGAATCCGGGCTAGCTTCAATACCAAAATGAGAACATAATGACCAACTATGCTTCTCGCTGCCGCCCAGATACATTTTCCGCTCCCATGCTCAGTGTCCCCCTCTTTCAAACTGCACATGTTGCTTTTTGTGAGTTATCGTCAGCTAAGCTGTCATTTCCTAGTCTAGGGTTTTCTAATACATAAACGTGGTTGCTGAGGAAGTTTTAATTGGTAAACTCTGTCCTACAATCCTGCTACCAAGTTATAGTGTAAATCTCACCCAAAGTTTGGCTACCTGGAGACGTTTAGTAACTAAACATTTATTAGCAAATTAGCACAAGATAATTTATGCAGCCTGTTCTAGGGAAGTTCAGTTATCTTGTTCTTTCAGGGATTAAAATACCATCTTGTTACAAAAAGTCACTGAATATAGTCATGGTAAGATTCCAGAAGCAGAATTCTTTTATCTTTACAGTTGCTACCCTTGTAGTTTTTCCTGGGCAAGCAGAAGTCAGAGTTCACAGCTACATACTGGATCTTTTGCGATTTAGCTGATTGAGGTGGTGGTCTTGCTAGATTCTTAGACACTGTTCATGCAAGTGTATGGAGTATTTCTTTAATATCATTGATGAGGTACTTCTTTTGGAAAGGCTTACATTCACCAACATGGATTACTTCTATTGTCATCTGTTTACCATACTAACTAGCAGGACACTGAGTTCACCATTAAAAAGCCATTTCTAGGGCCGGCAGGTGGTGTGGTGGTCAAGGGCTCTGTACTCCCTTCGGGCACGACTGTGGTTTGAGTCTCAGGCCTTGTGGCTTGCTTTCTCACTTTCTCTCTCTATTCCTCTCTCGTCAAATTAAAATAGATAAAATAATAATAATAAAGTTAAATAAAATAATGTTTTGAAGAAAAGCCATTTATGGCATTCAGGGTTAAATCTATAAAACCTTTGGCTATAGCACAAGGTATCAAAGCAGTCATAGTTCCCTCTAGGGTAGAGGCTCCCAGATGAGAATCCTAGTGGTCCTTGTGTCCCTGATAGAACTCTAGGTACACCTGGGGACTGTTTAATAACTGTGTGCGTGTGTGTGTGTGTGTGTATGTGTGTATATATATGTTTGTGTGTGTGTGTGTATAATCATATTGTCTACAACAAATTACTGAAAATAACTTAGTCATTATAACAATGCTCCTTTTGAGTCTACTCTGGAAGTTGTTTCCTTTTGTGTCATCATTATTTTTTACGTGCCACCTCCCTCTCTAAATAAAAAGCCCCTCGAGAGGCCCAGCTGCAATGGTGTAGGCTGTAGGGATGCTGCTGTGAGGGAAGGCTCTGGATCATCTCCTGGTCCACATGAATATTCCAGACATGGTTCTGATTCTGGATGGCTACCGGACCTGGGAGAGGATTGGGGTATTTAGACCTACTGAGGGAGCCTTACTCTCAAACTCTGTTGATACATAAACTATAAAAAAAAAATTCAAATATAACTTCTTAAGGAAAGAAATATGTCGATTATTTCTGCCCCCTCTACATTTTTCTCATAAAATCTCACATATAAATATGTCTTATAACTATTTTGAATAAATAAACAACTCTCTAGAAGTCCTCATTCTTATTCTATGGTTAATATTCTGGCTCTTAAAAAACCCTCTTTGGAATTATCAGTTGATATTTTTATCTGAAAAATGAAGATTCTAAGCAGAATGGTCATTTTATCTAAAATAATTTTTAAAAAAAGAGAATCTCAGAAGGAAAAACTTTGTGGTCATTAGACTTCAAAAACTAAAAAGTCGAAAAGGTCTTTGTCATTTTTAAGGGAAAAAAAAAATTCCAGATAACTCACATGACTGAACAACCCTGTACAGAACACAGTTTCCAAGCCAGGACCATACAGTTGTCATCACTAACAAGCAGCCCCACAGTAATGTCAGATTGCAGCCAGTCATTTTGTGAGAGAGAAGATAAATGGGAGAGATGCAATCGTCGTTACGCCTCTACCTTTCTGGGTCTCCATCTCTTTTGCTCCAGTTTCTTCCTTGCAGGTATGTTGGAAGATAGATGTAAGATGGTTTCTCTGGTCCATTTTGAGAAATCATTGACTAAGAGATTAAAACTGACATTTATTTTTGCTTCTATAAAGGCTGAATGCTGAGATACCTGATCATTAAAGGACGTTCAGAGTGAATAACTTTTAAAAGCCCCTGACAATTGGTGAGGCTAATTGTTTCTCTTACAGATCTGGCAAGAATCTGAACCTGGTAGATTTCTCTCTCAGCAGACAGCCATTCCTCCTAAGCAATATAGATAGAGACAGCATGTAGACCATTAATCCCTTCCTCCGTGTGGTCATTGGAGTGTCTCTGTGGGCTAGGCTTACTAGACAAGCCTGTCCCTGCAGGCGGAAGCTTGTGTCATCTCTACGCACATTCACTGTTAGAGCAATTGTTTCCGAGTTTGATTTTAAAGTCACTTTCTTAAGGAATGTAAATTATTTAGTCACTTATTCTAAAGAGATACACACCAAAACCAAAGAGCAACATCATGTTCTGGTTCAGTTCTTGTATTGTTCCACGTCCCCAAACACTTTGAGTTAGTTACCAGGTCTGTCTTTGAAAGTAAAATGAGGCAGTCTCCATTGTGACAAAGTGAACAGCCATCTTCACAGCTAGAGAAGTGAACAAAACAACTAACACGATCCAGTTAGTAAAATTCAGAAACTTTCCACACTTTTGCATCATTGCTTTGCACAGAATAGAAAACCTTCAACTCAGTTACAAACTGGGATCAACACGTAAGACTAAAAAGTGAGTCTCAGGTGAATGATCTCACTCTCTGAGTTACCTTCCTGGGCAACCTTCCAGCTGTTGACTTAATATTGTACATATATCAGAGACTTTAATACACTAATTGATAAACTAAGGAGGTTTTTCAGCTGAAAGAATGAACATAAGTAAAAGTTGACTGATTTAAGTGATTGTGATGGCATGTAAAAGGCAAGAAATTTAATATAACTATTGTAAAAAGTTTGGAATTAACCTATGTAGAAAAGAATCTCAACTGTGATTATAAGATTAATAATTAGAAAAGGAAAGGGATAGTATTACCCATCAAATTAATTACTAGAAGATATTAAAAATATAACAGAAGTGAAGAACGGAAACTCCTCACTTGGTTCAAATAAAGTTGATCTCTGAAAAATAGAAATCATCAAAAGATCATTTCCAGTGGCTGATTCCTGATACGTGTTCCTGATTTTGCATAATTTATTACAAATAATTACAAGTAATGTGGGTGTAGTTATAGTGAAAGTATGAGAGGTTTTCAATAGTGTGCCTTTCTTTTATAAACTAGAACCAATACAAAGCTTCCTTTTAATGACTTTAGTC